TTTTCCAATGGTTCTCTAACTAATGTCAGCTCATGATGAAATCCTGAAAATAAGAATTGCTTTTTCCACAAAGCTTAAAAAATTTTACAAAAAAAAGTTCTTTATTGTGAAGGAGAAGAAGAGGTTGTTTGCCTACATTTTAAACGAAAAAACGAAAAAAAAGCATAGAGAGAAAAACTTCTGTGTACGAAAATAAAAAGCGGAAGTCAAAAAAGAAAATAAACAAGTTACTTACTTATTTTTGTGAAATTTTTATTCTCTATGTTTAGTGTGATTTATTCTCCTTAGTGTAAAATAGTTTTACACATGATTATGAAAAATATTTCTGTTTATTTTCGAACGACAACAACGACAGCAACAACAGCACTAATGACAATGACAATTTGTAACTCAATTTACTAAATACACTTCCGTTTATAAAGAGAAACGAATCAATCAATAATGACAAGAAGAACATATATTGTATGTTTAAAAACTACAATTTATGTTAGTTAACATATGTATAACTGCAAAGGATGTACTTTCTGTAGATAGATGAAAGATGGTCATGATTGGTGACTAATCCTGAAAAAGAAGAAAAAAATGGAAGTTGTACAAACTCTAGGAAAATAAAGAGAAAGCCTTGGTTACAGTATTTCATCATGAGTTGACATTGGTTAGAGAACCATTGGAAAACCAGCTGAGAGTACTCAGCTCATGATGAAATCCTGTAACCGATCGACGAAATCCCTACAAATCAATACTTGAATATCAATGAAATGCTCACTTACTGGCGACTGGCCCGATTCAGGTAGGCAGGTTCTAGTGGAAAGCCGTGGCCAGTAGGGTACAGCAGGTCGGGTGTCAGGACAAATACTCGCCAGAGATGACATTGGCTAGTGGTTGCGCTATATCGTGAATTGGTAGAAGTTAGAATTCATGGACTGGCCATTGGATTGGGTCCCACTGGCTTAATGGTCTACATGCTCGATAGTCTTGTAACCAGAAGGTCTTGGGTTCGAACCCCGGTGAATGCATGCCAATGAAGAGTTCCAGACTAGGACGAAACAGCCGGATATCCAGTACTCCCAGCTGGTTCTCTAACTGATGTCAGCTCATGATGAAATTTTGTAACGAATCAACCAAATCCCTACAAACCAATACTTGAAAAGAAAGCCTGCCTGGAAAGGTTACTATTATTATTGTTCCCTTGGATCCCAAGTGCCGAAAAAGGCATTCAAGGGCACATCTGCATGTTGTCCTCTTCTCTATCATCCCCTTTAGCCGACCTCACAAGTGACCATAGCCTCTCACCTCCTCCATGTCGGCAACATCGAATGCACGTCACTCTCGTTATTTCCCATTTCGGGTTCCACTCGAGCGACGGCCTGGGACAACGATGTCACTCAACGGTCTCCTCAGAGTTTTCCTCATCCATCCCCATTTTCTTCTACATATATTTCTCGAGCAATACGTTCTTGATGTGTTAGCTCACAGGGTTTCTTGTTGTGCATTCCCTCTGACCATCTGTTATGCAGTATTGAGATGGCGAAGGTAGATGCTGATAAGATTTCACCTCTGTGATGGGCATAATTTCTGATTCCTTAGAGAAGAAATGACTGAATTAAAATATTGATATTGAAAATTCAAATCTTGCTCCTCATACTGAGGAGTGCAGAAGATTTCAAAACTGGATACTGAGTGATGGTGGTCTGCCTCGCCTTTCTGATTCGGGCTGGTTTTCATATATTCATCTGAACCACGGCCTGTGAATAAAACGATGCTTCCTAGCTAGATAAGTGAAGGAAATGACCTCTTTCAAATCTCTCTCTCGCTGATAGTGACTGGTGCTATCGGTTGGTGTAGCTATCGATTGGTCGATTGGTTGGTTATTTTCATCGTCTCCATTCTTCTCTATCCTCACCAGGAGTTCTGTCTTCACTGCCTGCTTCCTCTGCTACTTAGCTAGCTTTCGCCTACACGCCTTCGAGTCTGTACGAAATTAGGCATAAATCACCCACAAAATCCAGACCTTTGAAGTTTCTGTGGCAAATTGACTGGTTTAACATGGTTGGGTAACTGGCCTTACGCCCAGCTCCCCTTTATATACCTCACTTGGCACCGGCTTGAAAACCAGGAAAGTCACGTTGTCTCCCTCTGTCTGTCGCATCATCCAGTCTACCGGCCAGAATCAGGAAAATCATTGGCGATAGTAGGCAGCCAGCCTTGTCTTACTCTCGTCTTTACTTCGAAGGATTCTCAAAAGTTTCCCATTGTGGATTATTCGGCATGCAGCGTTGTCGTACAACGGTTAGATGAGATGTATGTTTTGTCGGCGGCACCCCTTGGTAGTAGCGAAGTAGTTGCCAAATCACCTCTCTCTCTCGATTGACGCTGTAAAGTCGCTGTAAGTAAGACCGATCAGTTGACTCAATAATATACTTGAGAGAAGGAAGATGCTCATTAATGCGCTTGTTAAGCTTTCTAGTTGTTCACCCTATATTACTGTCTCCTCAGGAGCAGCTAAATTTATAGATACACATAGAATGACAAGTGAAATTATACCGTGGACAGTTCAAAGTGAGAACAGTAATAGTAACAATTGACGTCATAAAGGATGAGTGTACAAATTGAAAAGACAAAATAAGAAAATTGGTTGAGCCAAAATATGATTAGGGATTACCATATTTTAGCATAGAGAGACTAAGACCATGAAAGTTGAAGGGGCTGAACGAACTTTTTCTGTACACATAGAGATCTGGCTTTTCTCTTTCGATAGCCAAAGGTGCTTCAGCAGTGCAGCAAATGGGTCTAATATAGAGGGATTTCGGTGAATTACGTTTTACCTTGTAGATGACTTTAAAGGCGGAGGCTATAGAGATAGGTTGACCATTATTGACCAGATGTTCATTGATCGCGCTTCTTATTGCTCCGACTCCACCTCTTCGTAACCATATGGGATAGTGTTGTTGCACCCTCTTGGATGAAACTCGAGTCGAACGACCGATATACCTAGCTCCACACGAGCAGGTGAGTTGATAAACATACACATAGAGTTGGTCAACTGAGGCGGGATCTTGTCCTTCAGGTTACTGAACAGTAATGGTCGACTAGTAAAGGCTATTCTCAGAGATGTAGCAGGGAATGTTCTGTTCAGGGACTGTGTTATCCTTCGTTTCATGATATCAAAAGCTGAGTTCCCTTTGAATTCCAAGCTCATGTAAAGCATTTTCTTGGGTACGGATGATAAGTCATGTTTTATAGGATTTGAATGTATATTCTTATCTATAAAATGGCGATCAAATCTCTACCTCAACTTTATAGACTTTGAAAAGGCCTTCGACAGCGTTGATCGTGAGGTAATTTGGAAATTACTCGAGTACTACGGCGTACCCCAAATATTCATCAACCTTATTCAACAGCTGTACGACAACGGCACATGTCAAGTGATCCAAAACGGAAAACTCAACGAGGCATTTGGAGTAAATACAGGAGTCAGACAAGAGTGCTTATTATCACCCACGATGATATTCCTAATTATGGTGGACTGGATTATGCGTCAGACATTGAGAAAAGAGCAGACAGGGATATCCCGGACAGACAGACGTGAAGAATTTAAAAGACCTGGATTTCGCGCGTGGATGATTTATGTTTGATGTCACACAAAATCGAAGACTTACAAGCGAAAACTGACAAACTGGTCAAAGTAGCGGCTAGAGAAGACAGAACTCCAAATGAACATAGACAAGACGGAGGTTACGAAAATAACCAACCAACAACAACAACAGCAGCAGCAGCAACATCCAGCGCCAATCACCATCAACGGGAGGGATTTGAAAGAGGTTACTTCATTCACTTATCTAGGGAGCATTGTCTCAACTACGCGCAGTCGGAACGGACGAGGATGTCAAATCGAGCAAGAATCGGGAAGGCGAGAAACACATTCATCAACCTGAAACCAATCTGGGAAGCTTCGTCACTCAGAATCAACAACAAAATTCAGTCGGATTTTCAATACAAACGTCAAGTCAGTCAGTTCTTCTATACCGATCAGAAACTTGGCGGGCGGGTCACAAAGAATATTTCCAACAGCCTGTTGCAGACCTTCATCAACCAACAACTGTCTTCGCTGGATCTATACTGAAGATCCGATGGCCGGGCCGGAAAGAATCACCGACAAGAAACTATGGGAAGGAACAAACAAAACAAGAACCAATCGCCAGCCAACAAATATGCAGGAGGAAGTGGAGATGGATCGGACACTCGCTGAGGAGGCCGCTGGGTGACATCGCACGTCAGGCCATCGCTCGAGTGGAACCCGAAAGGGAAGCGGCGAGTGGGACATCAGTGCGAAGGTGACATGGAGTAGATCGTGTGAAGAGGAGTTGAAAGTGTATGGACTAACTAACATGGATGTAGGTGAAAAGTTTAGCAGAAGACAGAAGTGGCAAGTGGAGACGCACAGTTGAAGCCCTATGTTCTACTAGGAACCCAAGAGAGCAATAATAATAATACAATAAAACGTAAACACACTTAGTACTAATTAGTGTCATATCAACTGGCGTGTGTGAATCTGTTTGTAGTTTTTCACAATCCCATTTGGCTTTTTCTCCATCAACTGTTAATAACAATCAAAGGTAATTTACAAAAGCATTAGAGGGAACAGGTTGTAACTGATACGGTAAAACCTGAAGAAAGGAATAATTTAGCCATTAGTAGAATGACTCTTATAAATCTTTCTGACGCTGACAAACATTCATCACATCAGATGATACTTGTAGGTGAGTTGAATAACATGTATGTTGTCACTCCCATTTATTCATAAATACATATATACGTATATGTAAAAATATTTATTCGTTCACTGACCGTAAACATCACATCCATTTGTTTACTAACTATTTCATCCTCTGTAATGATACACATTCTTCGTTTTCTCCCACTCCCACTACGTTTTCTCCTTGTCACACACATACATACACCCCTCTCCTCTCTCTCTCTCTCTCCCGTGTATTTCTTAGGTCAGTTTCGATTTACAATTTGTACTGAAAACATTAATGACGCTGTGTCCTGCAAAAGCCTTGCTGATCTTTATTACAACTATATGGGTGATATTCAGTTGGACGTTAAGAGCCTGTGAACTGTAAGTTGACAGAGTTAAAACACCACATGTGTGTATGCGTGCGTGCGTGCGTGAGTGTGCGTGTTTATTTTCTTTTCGTGTATGTAATTATTATTTTGACAGTTTTACAACAAAAGTAGTAGGAAAGAGAACAGGTAAGTGACACTGTTTATCATTTTTGGTTGTAGTTTTCTAATTGATGAATCTGATTTGTTTTATAACATATTCATAATGGATTTTTGGAAATTTTTGGTTAGGTCATGGAGATTTTTCTTGTTGTTGTTGTTGAAGTTTTCCTGTGGATTTCATCTTGATAAGAATAAAAGGGTGTCTTTGTTTATTCAACTTTTCTTCTGCCTGCCTGCCTCCCTCCCTCCATGACTCCCTCGCCACCCGATTCCGACCCTAATCGTTTCAATTAAGAAATAATTATTGCCGTTTGAATTAATGTTTATTGAAGTGTAGCCATCATTGACCCTTTGACATTTTTAACATCATTATTACTGTAAGTAGTACCAGTTTAGCAAGAGAAGACAAGGGCCAGGGAAGAGATCCTTTATTAAGGAAATCAACACATATTTATAGATTTTCATGTACATATCATAGATTATTGTTATCACAAAAAACACAGTCTTCTGATTGGTAGTTTCTCGTTGAACGTTAATCTTTCATCTCTTTGTGGCTGTTTCTTGAATGTCAGATCATCTATCTGCTAACTGTATCCGCCTACGGATAGTCTGCTGTGGTTGGTTGTTGAATCAGTCTTTGTTCTTATTTTTCTCACAACCAATATTGGGGACATAAACATTAACGTAAATTACTGTCTACCGATTTGACTAACAGCCAGCTCTCACCACACTCCTCCTCCCATCAAAGACTTCCGACTCAAGTTGGCTCGGTCTTCTTGGTTCTCGGGGCTTTTTTCGTTTGTCTTGCTTTCTGGAATCTCGCTACTCACTGATATTCACCTGCTTCTCTTTGTTTACCGTTTGCGATTGTGTCTGCGTAACCCCATCTCAACGTGACCATATGTGGTCCTCACCCACTTTGGAAACTGTTTGCCTGACCCTGTATTTTGCCTCACACTTTCATAAGCTGCTTTCACTCGTCCTCCCAGTAGCATCTCAAGTAACAGCCTCATCGCTGACAGATCTTGAACGCCACTTAGCTGCTCACAAGCATCGAATTCCTACACGAAGATACATATGTCTCCATCAAAAACTGCACGACATAGGCTTTCCTCTTACCGGTAGGGAGCGACACCAAATGTAACAACAGAAGACAAGGGCCAGGAAACAGATCGTTTATTTAGGAAATCAACACATATTTATAGATTTTCATGTACATATTATAAATCAATGTTATTGTTCCTCGTTGAACGTTAATCTTTCATCTCTTCGTGGCTGTTTCTTGAATGTCAGATCATCTATCTGCTAACTCTATCCGCCTACACAAAGTCTGCTGTGGTTAGTTGTTGAATAAGTCTTTGTTCTTATTTTTCTCACGACCAATATGTGGGACGTAAACACTGACGTAAATTACTGTCTACTGATTTGGCTAGCAGCCATCTCTTACCACAGTAGTAGTAGTAGTAGTACTTGGTACATTCAACAACCTTTAACTGAATGAAGACAAATCTACGATACTACCATGGGTTTTCCATCGAGCTCAATTCGGGTGCATTTTTTTCTTGCTAAGCTTGAAAAGGGTACACTGAAAAAAGTAATAGATAAAATGAATCCTTATATTCGTTATTTTGATGATATGTTTACTATTTTTGGTGAGAAACCTGATAAGAATGAAATGTTAATGAAGTTTAATAATACACATCCATTGCTCATGTTCACTTTTGAAGAAGAACCTTATGTCAGATTGTGCTGGGCAGAAAGTCGAGGTGGTTCACTCAAAAGAGATGTCTATAGAAAAAACCTACGTTTGTAGATTCTTCAGTTTTGCACCGATTCGATCAGTACAGATGACTCCTTAGTAAATGCATTAGGATTCGTCCAAAATACGCTAGTCTAAATGGGTTATCCTATTAGATTTGTAAGGAGACACATGAACACACTAGGTATGTGTTATGTTCTCGTCGCCAAATTATTGCTATGTACTGGTCGATAATTTAATAGTCCTGATGCAAGAAGGCGGAAATCAGAAGACCACTAGGTTTGCGATGATACTTCTATTTTCCAAACACAAGGAGAAGCAATAAGTGGTATCACACCAAAGTAAGTAAGTCACACAAATTGTGAGAGCGAAATATATATGAATGTTCAGACAAGAGTGTGAACAAATCATTAGACAGTCTTAACATGAATGACTAATTATAATGAAGTATCGATCCATATATACATAGCGAAATATAGCAGGCATGTCAACAACCACCATATATGGATATATGTCACCAAACAACGGACTGTCAACAAACACTCATATTATATATAATATAAGGGGAATATACATTGTTAAAGGAGACAGGTTCATACAAGTGAAATGGTCACAGACCAAGCGAGTAAACATAAAGAGAGATCACCATACACACACATAAATATATATATATGTGTGGATACATATCAGTATGATAAAGAGAAACTGAAAAGAGCTGAAAGAAAACAAGTGTTCTTAAAACTGCAATCGTGTAACGGCCTTAAACTAAATCCTTCTAAATGCCAGACTGTTAATTTCAGTTTCCGATGTAAACGAAAGTTAAATGAAGCCGTTGGTTCCTATTGCCCTTGCAAAATTGATGACACTGATATAGAAATCAAGTCTGAAGTTAAGTATCTTGGTTTAATTATTTCTTAGGACCTATTCTGGTCTTCCCATGTCTTAGCTATTTCTAAAAGAGTATTTTGTCTGACTTACATTTTACATTAAGAAGTTGAGGCACTCAGGCATAACACAACCCCTCCTCTTATAGTTTGTCAACTAGTGTATCTTACCTATTCTTCTTTATTGTTCATTGTTATTCTTTCCTGGATTGCTTAAAAAAGACCATGTCATTCTATGTCGTAGAACTCTGAAGACTGTCAGTAGGGCGAGTGGTGCTATCCCAATGGGCCATATTGTTGACATCGTCATTGATAGGCACATGATGTCATGCAACAAATTTGCTAAAGGAATTTTGTCAGACTATAAGCACCCACACTACCCGCAGCTCCAACCTTGTGTCTCTTCAGATAAAACAAGAAGTCTTTTATCATATTTGGCACGTACTTTATGTGATAAAAATAGTGTCAGGCATGAACTAACAAACCTTCTTTGCACTACTAAACAAACCATTTCTCCCACCCCTGCAGTACCAAACTTCATTGTTATTGTACTTCTTATACTTATAATCCTCTCAATTTTTTTTGTTTTTATTTGTTTATTTTTTCATAAGTGTGAACATATTTTAAGCTGTGTTATGTAACTGTTAATTTTGTATTTCCCCTCACCATGCTGCTATATCAACAGAACTTTAGATTCAATAATCTATAACATGCTAAAATTTTCAAACTGAATCGCCAATACTGTTTGAAACAAACTCACTGTTATTATTATTGTTATTATATTTCATAATCTCAATTCGTACTTCGAATATTATTGACTTTATATCGTAAACGTGGACAAATTCCTCTGGTTAATTTTTGTTTTAATTTTATTTATATTTTAAGTAAATCAGATGCAAGGTGTTGTGACAAATGCTGAGAATTCCATTCTGTATTATAAGTACTGTCTGTTTTGGAATAAAGTAGATTATTATTGTTGTTATTAACACGTAACTTTAATATAGTTCTTAACTCCCTAAACTTTATCCTGTCTCTGAATTTTACCACTAATCTGCTCGTTAACCTAACTCCTGGGCATTAAAAACAACTTTTCAACGTAATAAGCATTAAGGAAATCGATCAAATCTCCTTAACAATGGGTATCCTACAAGGTTTATTAAATGTAACATCAAAAAAGAATCCAGCCCTAGACAAATCCCAGTGCCAAAGAAAAAAACTGTTTATAAGTCTTGCATTCAAAGGTGACACCATTTCTGAATTGATTAAAAATCGTCTATCTAAATGTATTAAACGCACTTTTCCTGCAGCTGACTTGCAACTAGTTTTTACCAGCCGAAACATGATTAAACAATGCGTCAAGGATAGATTACCGCTTACGTCCACATCTATGTTCATTTACTCTTTTACCTGTTCCTGTGGAGCTGATTATATTGAATGTTGTAAGCGTAATCTCCAAAAACGTGTAGCTGAACACCACCTGGTTTGGTTCATGAAAGGCGAACGTAGAACTGCGAAGTCGTCTATTTGTGATCACCTGTTAGAATCTGGTCATTCAACCCCACGTGATTCATCCTTCAAGGTTATCTACATGACAAAATTGAATCGCTCCAAAAGTTTACGTTTTCTTCACTTATGCAAATCGCCGAAGCTTTAGCTATACATGAACAGAGGGAGACCTAAATCATGTTTTCAAAAACATTTTGTCAAACCCCTTTCTTTACAACAAACAATAAAGGTTAATAAATGAGGATTTAATGAGTTCGGCTGACGAGTTCAGCCGAAATTTGATGAATTTATTAAATCCTGCTTGTTTTAAATCCGTATCGGGAAATAAATGTTTTCAACCTTTTCTTTACCTTGGTCATAGTGATTAATGTTCTTTCTAGTTTTCATTTTATTTTATTTTACCAATTGAATTCACTCCACTTCACTTCACATCTTTATTCTTATCGTAATCGTACTCCTAATTTTTAAAATTTTCAGACAACGCTTAACTTTTTTTGAAAATTTTTGATATCAATTCACTTATTAAACAATCTTTTATAATATCTAATTCATCCACTTCAACTCTACCCCTTATAACATTTTAATTATCGTTATTCTTACCACTTATAATATATGTACACTATATATTAGCTGACTTCTCACACCCAAAACTTGAAAACGGGAAATTGAAAGCAATCATCAAAGAGTTTGATATGTATTACCGTTATGTCAGTGATACATTTATCTCAGCTGATGAGAATGTTA